AGGCCAACAATATCCCCAACAACAAATGTTTTCCTTCCCTAGCGCATGCAGAAAGCCAAGGACAGGAAGCCGTGTATGGGTTGCAACAAGGCTTCCACCAGTCGCTCCGTCAACATCAATCATCCATGCTGCAAAAGCGGTTGCAACGGGAAGACCAGGCCAAAGAGACAGAAATTTTGGCCGCTCTAGCAGGTTCCAAAGTACAAGATATGAGCCATATAGACAGGAGCAACCTCACAACGAATCTAAGGGGAGACGGCCGTACAATGGGAGACGGAGATCTTCGTCAACATTGCTCACTCCAAGAGATGCATTGCTGCATGTGCCAAGGGTGACACCACCCGCGCACATACACCAGGGTGAACAGCAAATACCAGAGGCAGCACAGAGCTATACACATGTAAGTATCCATATAGAAAAAAAAACCATACAAGCACAGTCCATACCATGGTACTGTGACCACCCCATCTAAATATTTTCATAACTGCATTTTTGTTTGCTCACTATTGCATGCAGCCACCTAACATTGAAGCTTATGTTCTGCCAAGCCTAGAGATGCGCTTTGAAACTTTTGAAGAAGCAAAGAACTTCTACAACCTCTATGCGAAGCACGCGGGTTTTGCTATCAGGGAAGGCTCCAAGTTTAAGACCAGAGCCTACCTTTATTTCACATGCTATGGAGTCTATCATTCGAAGGTTTCTGAAGCAAATAGACAGCGGAACAAAATGACAGCCAGGACTAACTTGTCTTCTTGCACTCCCGTAAAAGAGATAGTCTGGGAACACAACCACAGGCTACAGCTCACTCCGCAAATGCTTGTCTTCTTGCACTCCCACAAAAACTTTGACAAAACAATCTTGGAGTACGTCAAGTACCTGCCGTTCAAAGGCATTGAACACGCGCAAATAATGAGCATACTGGGCGGTGATGACCCTGGTAGCTACTTCCTTGAAATGAATGCCAAAGACCTAATTAACATGTAAGTACAAACTTGTTCTCCTCCCATAAACTGCCTATGTCTTTTTTCCTTTGTCAGTACAAACATATTACGCAACACATGACCTGACGCCAGTTCAACATGCATTTTTGAATGACTGTTCACTTTTAATATCCAGGAAAGCAAAAAATTCAAGGATGGATGATGTGGACGATGTCCTAAAGACTGTCAACTTCTTTAGGGAGATGAAAGCTATAAACAGGGAATTCTTCTATGACATGCAACTCGATGAGTCCGACAGAGTTAAGAACATATTCTGGGCGAATGCAAGCTGCCGAGGGGCCTATCAGGACTTTGGTTACTACGTAACGTTTGACACCACATATAAGACCAACAAGTACCATATGCCACTTGGGGTGTTCGTCAGTACTAACAACCACTTTCAGACTACATTCTTTGGTTTTGCCCTGATAAGAGATGAGGATGCAGAATCATTCAGATGGCTGTTCAAGACGTTTTTAAGGTGCATGAGAGGGAAGGCTCCTACATGCATCCTCACAGGTACAACCGCGAAAACCACCCCCAACCACCACCACCACCCCCTTCCCCCAAAAAACTAAAAGGAAAATAACACGTTAAAAAATGTTTGTGTCAGTTCTATTTGTATATATGCACCAACATATGCTGACCACTCCACATCTCTTTTCTCATTACCAGACCAGTGCCCGGCAATGGCTTTGGCGATACCAAAAGTTTTCAAGAACACAGTACACAAGCTGTGCCACTGGCACATTATGAAGAACTACAGGGAACACCTCGCATACCTGTACTACCTACACGAAGACTTCACAGAAGAATTAACATCAATCCTCAATTGGCCCCTCATGCCAACTGAGTTTGACGATGCCTGGAAAGGACTCATCGATAGGTACAACCTCCATGATGATGCCACAATGCTGGCCATGTGGAACGAGCGTGAGAAATGGATATCAGCCTACTTCAAAGAAATTTTCTGTGCCAAAATGACATCCACACAACGAAGTGAGAGCATCAATACCAGGAGGCAGAAGAACTTTGTAAGTGAGAGACAAAACCTACACCGGTTTGTCAGCTAGGTAAACTCCTGCATCAATACCAGGAGGCAGAAAGAGAACCAAGAGACAATGGGTAACATGGTATATCTCTATCACCTGTCGTGAGACAAAAGAACATGCTTACTAAAGTAAACCTTTATTAGTTAGACAAGTTTTTGCTGCGAGAAAACTAACAATTTCTTCATCATTCTTGCATGTGTAGAAGGAACAAAACACGCTGACCTTCTATTGGTTTGACACCCAGATGGCAAAGGTTTACTCGCGAGCTGTGTACAACGAGATCAGAAAAAGGCTAAAACTGAGCACACTCTTCACGACGATAGAGACGGAAGAGCCCACAAAGTACCTCGTGCGCTACAACAACCCGCAAAAACTGTTTGCATGGTCTCAGCACGCGTTCCAGGTGGTTGCAGACCCTGTGGGAGAAACATATGAGTGCGAGTGCAGGTTATGGGACCACACAGGTGAGGACTGCAAAAAAAAGATGTTACATACTGTACTACTTTATTTGCAAAGTTTTTGTTCGAATGAAATGACAAAATACATGCACCTCTTCCAAAAACAAAATACAGGTCTTTTCTGCGTGCATATCCTGTGCATGATGCAGACAATTAAGGCTCCCAGCGTTCCAGAGAAATATATCCTTAGGAGATACACCAAACGCCTGAACATCCAGCCAACATTTGACAGAAATGACTTGAGGACAGTAGCGTCGAACAAGGCATCCCAATACTGCATTGAAAGCTTAGTGCTGACGCTCAACATGAGGGTGCACAGAAAAAGTTTGAGAAACCAAGAGCAAATGGCGAGGTCGGGGGTCTTCATGGACAAACTTGAACAAGAACTTGACGCCATGCATTCTGCTGAAAATGGAGGTGTGGCGAACAATGATGCCATTGAGAAGGATATTGCTACAATGTTATCCGAGATGAATCATATGGGAGCTGTTGACCCGTTCGACAACGAGGAAGAGGAGCAGTAGCAACCAGAGCTTGCCCATGTGCACACTCAAGATCACCAACAAGCTCACATGCGAGATCATGAGCTTGATGGTGATGTAGGCGAATGACATGACAACAGCACATCGTACCAGCAGCACCAGGAAAGAGTGATTAAACCACCCATGTTCTCAAACACAAAGGGGAGGAAGAGCAAGACGCAGGCAGCGAAAGCATCAGCCAAAAAGCCACCACGCCTCATCAAGCGTGTGGAACTTGGCCCGGACGGCAAACCTCTCGGGATAAGGGCATGCGGATTCTGCAACGTCGTGAGAAACAATAACTACCGCACATGCCCACTCCGCACAGATGGCACTGCCAACAAGCACAAGCAGATTGGAGTCACCCAGGTTTCTACCAATGGAGACAACACACGTAACAGCTACACTTGCCGCAAGTGTGGGGGAACTGACGGGCATAATGCTCGCACGTGCAAAGTGGGCAAGGAGGTCATTGGCGCTGAACAAACATAGGGCAAGGTGCAGAGTTCTAAAAAATCAAATGAAGACGATGAAGAAGAAGAGTTTGACAAGAATGACGACCAATCAGACGAAGACAATGAAGATGACACTGTCAGGGTCGAGGAAACTAAATCTGGCGATGAAGTTGCCAAGGCTGAACCAGGAAAGGGCGCTGGCAAGGCACAACATTCGGGGCCAGTTAGGAGAAGCTCAAGGCTGAACAACTGAACAATACATAGTGGTCTCAGTTGCCTCGGCACACAATGAGGAAACTTTTCAGAAACACTGTCGTTACCAAAACTTATTTAGCTTTATCGTCGATTTCTCGATCAGTACTATAGTTAAGATATAATTTGTGATTTTTGTCCGTTGAACCAGTAATATTATTATGTAAACCAATTGATGATCCTTTTGAATGCAGTCAGAAATACATTTGAAAAACTTATCTGGATTTACCTGACGCAAATGCTACTGTCGACCAGTAACTCAGCAGCAAAAAAATGTCAAGGAAAATTTAAACTCCCATAGTACATCTATACTGATAGTTCTTAGTCGTCAGTACAAAGACATAGTACACATCAGTACTGATATAATTTGTGATTTGTGCCCGCTGGAGCAGTCACATTATTACGTAAAACATTTGATAATCCTTTTGAATGCAGTCACAAAATACATTTGTACTGACAAAAAACACTACTGCAGACCAGTCGTCAGTACAAAGGCAGAGTGAAACAAACACACCCGCGAACACCTAAAAAACATCGTTTTGAAAAAAACAAAGCTATGTCTGCTTCTACCAGTCCCAATTCAGAAAGACCATCAGTACATAAAAATAATTACCCGAAACAAAAATGCGAATATAATACATTCTGTACTGATGAAAATCTAATTTATCTGTAAAAAATATTCAGATATTATCTTGATATAAACAATCCTTTTAAAAATACAAAAATTGTTTTAAAAAACATTAGCATCACACATAGTCTCATTGGTATTTGGTAAGTTCAATTACACTTCAATCACCAGTCCAAGTACCACAGTGGAGGAGTACAGACCTCCATCATCACCAACCCTGACATATGAAAGTGGGATGAGCGGCCGATAAGTACAGCTTGACAAGACAAATCAGTGCGATAGTAAAATGCCCTCATCACCACCCTTGAGATGTGCAAGTGGGATTTAGCAGGTCATAAGTACCGCTTGACAAGACTAGTAAGTGCAGCAGTAAAAACCATTGGACTTGGACGGTTACTTCTTCCAGGCCACCACCCGCGCCACCCATTGAGCGGTTGCCACAATGGACTGCAAACGGCGACCCCACGCCACTACACCCACTACACGCACGCCCCCGACGAACCGCCTCCCACAAATCCCCGTCGACGCACTTCAAAAAACCACATTCTCTTCCATCTCTCCATCATCCCCACAAACAACCATTGCCCTTCCATCTCCCCTGCACACAAACCACAAACTTCTCTCTCACAATCCCATAGCCGCCGGAGGAGGGCGATGGCGGAGGAACCGTCCACCAAGCATCATCAAGACAAGCCGTCGGACAAGAGCAGCAACCTCATCGACGTTCACGTCCCCGGCGAGAAGCGCGAGTACACCAAAACCCTAAGAGAGGTTGAGCTCCATGGCAAGGAGACGCTGGAGATCGTCTGCACCAGCGAACCAGACAAGGACGACGAGTTGATCTCCAGGCTCTGGAGGAAGGCTGGCGGCATGCTTCGTAGGATCGTTGGTGTTGGTGTGCACTACACCAACGGAGATGAACCACCCTAGATGGCAGCAGTCCTGCAGTTGTGCGTCGACGACCTCTACTTGGTGTACCACATCGCAGCGGCCACAAAATGGTGATCCATCGTACTCATTTTCCCTGTTTGGTTTATCTGTTTTATTAGTACTGTATCCTAAAATTTTCATCAGACTTGTTTCCCAACTAGATGTACTAGTGTGGCTTGTGAAAAGTGGATGCACTACTGCATTGTCTCAAGTAGATACACTATCAATGTATTTTTGAACCTGATGCACCAGATTACTATTTGGAAAATTTTGCGGAAGATTAATTTCTGAAGTTGACTGATTAGTCTAGTTTCCGAACTTGATCCAATAGTGTAGTTTATGTACTCAATGTATTAAAAAGATGTTTCTGAACTTGATGTAGTGAAGTATTTTCTGAATTTGATCTAATGTTATTCTCATAAGAAAAAACTAAGGACTTGGTGAAGCACTATTTATGTGTTATCCTATTCAACAAAAGTAAACTAAACTAGTACCAAAGCAGAACATACAGCATTGACTGAAACTATGTATAATCCAAAAAAGAAGAATAACATGATGTACTTAATTTAATTTCAGAACTTTGTTTACTAGTTTATGAAGTACATTCATCCATTATTTATGCTACATAAACATATACTTAAATGGATTCATCGCTTGTAAGACAAAACAAAAATGAATAATTCAAACATCAAAAGTAATGCTGATTTTCAAAAATGTCTCTCCCCTTGCAGGCCCAAGCGCCTGAACGAGTTGCTGCAGCATAAGAAGTTGTTCACATTTGCCGGTTTCAGCATTGAAAGCAACAAAGAGAAGCTGAAGTTGTCTGGTTTGGAGATCAACCCCGACAAGTTCATCGACATTCAGCGCAAGTGGAGAGTACCATACACAGGAAAAGAGTACGACTCCTTGACTGATGTTGCAGCCAGCGTTATCCACCCACTCTACAAAGGCATGAAGAAGAACATCAACACGCAGGAAGACTACAAACTGTGGGGGACCATCCCGCTGCCAGACAACCTCATCGAGTACGCATGAGTGGATGCATACGCCACATACAAGGCATGGAGTATGATCGACTACATCACAGATGGTTCGGAAATTGCAAAAGAGCGGGAGGCTGCGAATTACTACGACCAACCCTATTGCCCCTATGCGGGATGAAGATACTTCAGAGCCTGCCTTCGTTTTACTTTCACTTGTGCTTGTCTTTTATCTTGTTGTTTCAAATTAGTAGTTTGCTCTTGTTGGGTTGAACCAGTATGATTATGTCGTGCTTGTCATTGTTGAACTAGTTTATTTATGTCATCAAGTACAATGTTTTTCTTATATCATTGTATAAGTTTGGTAGCTTCGTATGTTGTTAATCCATCATTTCAAATTCAAAAAGTAGCTTCGGAATAGAACTTTGTATCTGCTCTAAAGTACTAGTTATGATGCAACTAATCACACAACGTTGCTCTATGTCTAGTTTCGATTCAGTATTGTATATAAAACATAACGTTGAGAACAAATCAACACAATTTGAGTTGCTTAACAACGCTTCAAAAGTTGAAGCAAAAATTCTTAATACTCCATCTAGTGTTCTCATTCATATGTAGCTGCTAGATAATTAACAAGTACTGCAAACAGAAAAAGTTAAGAAAGCATCAGCACACACTTATGCTGGTCGTGTGCAGATTAAGAATCACAGTACTAGTACACTTGATCAGACAGTACATACTACAATAAAAAGTACATAGAAGCATCAGTCCATAAGCGCTACTATGAATGGACTATCAGTACAACTTAATCTAAACGCAAGTACATCTTAAAATTACACTTACACAAAACTGACAAGAACTAGAACAAAAAGTTTCAGTCCAAGTTACTACCGGAGTCAAGTACTAGATTAAGTTGAGAACAATCAGCACAATTTGAGTTTCTTAACAATGCTTCAAAAGTTGAAGCAAAAATTCTTAGTACTCCATCTAGTGTTCTCACTCATATGTAGCTGCTAGATAATTAACAAGTACTACAAAACAGAAAAAGTTAAGAAAGCATCAGCACACACTTATGCTGGTCGCTTGCAGATTAAGAATCACAGTACTAGTACACTTGATCGGACAATACATACTTACTACAATAAAAAGTACATAGACGCATCAGTCCGTAAGCGCTACTATGAATGGACTATCAGTACAACTGAATCTAAACGCAAGTACATCTTAAAAGTACACTTACACAAAACTGACAAGAACTAGAACAAAAAATTTCAGTCCAAGTTACTGCTGGAGTCAAGTACTAGATTCAAACAAACAAAAAAAGAAAAAACTGACCGCCCAAGGTCAGGCGCAGGCCTTGACGCTGCTAGATACTTGAACTCGAGCCCATAGGCGAATCCCTAGTAATCCGTACAACGAAGGGCCCACCGATCAGGGCCCACTTGTCAAGAGAGAGAGAGAGCGAGCGCCGTGTATAAGCGCTCAGGTAAGTATTCAGAGGAGTTCGACTAGTGAGCCTCGGCTGCGCTTATAAACAGGTTCGGAGCCCCCTCGACTAGAGAGGTGGGACTAAACCCAGAGCGCATGCGCACGCCGCACTGCACAGCTGTGTGGACGAGCTATCTAGGCCGGAAAACGGCCCAATAGCCTGAATCGTTTACAAACACCACACCAAATAAGCCCAGTTAAACAAACCAGAGGGCAAGGCAAAAAAATATAAACTATAAGAAAAATGTTCGAAACTGAAAATATATAAATTCTCTTCCGAATGAACTTAATAATCTAAAAACAATGAACCTCTAAAAAGAAGAGAACTTAATAGCCTATATGTTAAATGTACATAATTTAAAAAACCGAATTAAATATTACTTTCAAGTTCAACTACTAAAACGCAAAATGTTCAAACATATAATGTTTGTCAATTATGCTAAATATCTTATTACATAAAATCTAACAAGTTCAACTACTAAAAATGCAAAAAGTTCAAACATATAATGTTTGTCAATTATGCTAAATTTCTTATTTACATAAAATTTGACAAGTTCAACTACTAAAATGCAAAAAGTTCAAAATAGAATTTATTTGTCAATTATGCTAAATTTCTAATTTATACAAAATCTCACAAGTTCAACTACTAAAATAAAAGAAGTTAAAATAGAATTTATTTGTCAATTCTGCTAAATTTCTAATTTATATAATTTGTACACACCTCAACGAACGGTCTGGTTGTAAAATAATCTCGATCCCCACAAAACACCAAAAAAACCAAAAAAACTTAGTTCAATCATACATATGACATAAGTACTAAAAAAGCAGCATTAGTCAGGCCACTCACACCACTACAACACCAAATTTAAAAACCGCATGCTGTATGAAATTACACTTCAGTTCACACAGCACTAAACCATAAGTGCACTAAAATGAGAATACAAAAACTATAAAGGCCTAACTTAGGTAAGTACAGATGAAAATAAAATAAGTACCAGTTTTGAGCAACAACTCCTGGGGCACTGAAAAATGTCTTCAGATAAACTAGTCTAACTTCAGTGGAAAAACAAATACTTCACATCCTTAGGGAAAAACATCACAAAGCATACGTCACCTAAATAGTCCAAAATGCCGTCATCACCACCCCTGAGACGTGCAAGTGGGACTTAGCAGGTCATAAGTACAGCTTGACAAGACAAGTCAGTGCAGCAGTAAAACCATTTGAATTGGACGGTTGCTTCTTCAAGGCCACCACCCGTGCCACCCACTGAGCGGTTGCCACAAGGGCCTGCAAACGGGAACCCCCACGACCACCACACCCACGCCCCTGATGAACCGCCTCCCACACATCCCCGTCGACGCACTGCAAAATACCCCATCGTCTTCCATCTCTGCCTCATTCCTAGAAACCACCATTGCCGCTTCAATATCCACTGCACACAAACCACAAACTTCTCTCTCCCAAGCCCATAATCGCCGCAGGAAGGCGATGGCGGAGGAACCATCCGCCAAGCGTCATCATGGCGAGCCGTCGGACAAGAGCAGCGACCTCGTCGACATTCACGTCCCCGGTGAGAAGCGCGAGTACACAAGAACCCTCACAGGGGTTGAGCTCCACGGCAAAGAGAAGCAGGAGATCGTCTGCACCAGCGAACGAGACAAGGCCGACAAGGTGATGAGCAGGCTCAGGATGAAGGGTGGCGACTTGTATCCGAGCTTCATCGGAGTTGATATGGAGTTCACCAGGGATGATGAACCTCCAGAGATGGCGGCAGTCCTGCAGTTGTGCGTCGAGGAACTCTGCTTGGTTTACCACATCGCAGCAGCCACAAAATGGTAACACATACTACTGTTAATTCATCTGTTGTACTAGTACTACTCACTAGAAACTTCATTAAACTAGTTTCCCAACTAGATGAACTACTATACTTTTTGAAGTGTATGCACGAGTACATGTTTCTCAACTTACATGCAATTCTGAAACTATGAAGTGGATTGTTTCACCAGATTAGCATCTGAAAAAAATGTTTATAGAATTCTGAACTTGATGCACCAAATTAATTTCTGAACTTGATGTGCTAGCATAGATTCTAATCTTGATGCACTAGTATAGTTATATAGAATTGATGTATTAAAATATGTTTGGTGAAGTGGTATAGGTCCATATCTTGATGCACAAGTTTCTCAAATTAATTTCTGAACTTGATATAGAATTGATGCACAAAGATATATCAAGCACTGGTATAGGTCTTTTATTCAACCAAAAAAGAGAACTAAACTTGAATCAAGCACACATATATCATTGAATCTGTTAAAATGATTCTTGAATTTGGTGAAGCATTTGGTGAAGCACTAAAGACAGCAAAAAAGAAAAATAGCATGGTGTAGTTGAATTTAATTTCAGGACTTTGTGTACTAGTTTCTGGACTACATTCATCCATGACTTATACTATATAAGCATCTACCTCATGGATTATCACTTTCAAAAACAAAAAACAAAAGAATTAAATATTCAAAGAAGAACACTAACCT